CTGAGCCATCTCTCTCTCTCTCCTCTCTCTCTCCCCCCCCCCACACACGCACACACACACACACAACCAGCTAATCTGATTTTATTCTAAGGCTGACACCCACCCAGGGTCACACAACTAATGAGGGCAAAGCCTTGTCTCTCAGTCCCTGAGTTGTGTGGGCCATCAATGAAGTTAGAGCTGTGTGACACTGTTTCATTCACCAGAACCTGTGTGCCCTGACCTACTGGCAGGCCTGGTGATGGGTCTGCACACACGAGGACCTGCACATCACTGAACCAGCCCCTCGGTAGTGAGGAAGACCCAGAGTGGGCACTGTGGGGCACTCCAAGTTCATGACAAAGCAAAAGCCAGTATATGAGGAGGAGGGTAGGGAGTAGGGCATGCTCTGCGGTTCAAAGCTTGCTTCTAGAGCTTTCAAGCTACAAGCCTTGGACGAGCTACCTTACATTCTCACTTGGTTTCCACAGCTGTAGAATGGGGATAAGACCGTGTCCACGGTTTCAGGTAAGAGAGTCACAGATCTAACGGCATACTGCAGGTTGTTGGCTCTGATTAGCAGTCTTACCTGAGAGTCACCTCTGGACCCCAGGTCTTTTGACACTCATGAAGGTGATCAGCATTCTGCCCCTCCATGCCATGCTGCAGGCACACCACAGAACTGTAAAAAAGGGCTCATCTCAGCACAGCTGTGCTGGCTCTGGGCGGAGACGGATCCCCAGAGCCTGAGATCAGTGTTTAGGGCCTGACAGTGTGTTCCACCCCTGATGAGCTGGGACGGTACATGCAGCCAGGCAAGCTGCCTGCTGCTGAGTGGCTCACTCTCTAACTTTCTTAGGAAAGCATTAATTACCACATGGCTCCCTGAGGCCCTGGCACAGTGATCCGTCACAGCCCACCAGCCTGGAAGCAGTGCTGCCATCTTTCAGAAGGTCCTGTCCTGCCCTTTGCCTTCCCCTCAGGAGAGGATAGAATCCAGAGGGCCTAATACACTAACCACCAGCAGGCTGGGCTTACAAATGTTCTTACTTTAGCCCAGAGTATGGTCCCCAGACCAGCAGCATCACCTTGCAGATTCTCAGACTTACTTGATATCTACTGAATTTGGGGTGGGGCCCTGGGACCTATAAGTAACAATCTTTCTAGGGGATCTGAAGTTCACTCACACTGGAAAATCTGGGGGACTGTGGCTGAAGGGTGGGGGGTGGGCTCCAGAGAGATGACTGTGACTGGGGTGGCTCCAGCACAGCCTGGCAGATACCTGCCTTCAAATGTAGGCTCTGGAAATTCCTCACTGTGTGAACTAGGGCAGATAACCTTTTTTTTTTTTTTAATACATATTAACTGACAACCTACTGTTTACTGTTGAAGGCCCCAAAGCTGCTCTTCTAAGGAAAAACAATTACAATAGCCAATATAAAATAATTTAACCCTTACATGAAATCTTTTGGGTAGGGCGCTATCATTACTCTAAACTGCACGAATGAGAAAGGACATCATGGCAGTAACTTGGTCCATGGCTTGTCTGAGAGTACTGAACTTTGAGCCACTGGATCTGCCTCCAGAGCCAAGCTATAGCAGAGATGGACAGAATGCAGTAAGAGTCACAATATAGACACACAACAGCACATGCTATGAAGGCAAAATAAAGTGGGGAAGAGGATCAGACATATCAATGTAGGAGTGGGATGACTAAGGGCAGTCTGTCAAGGCCTCTCTAAGAGAGGGCTGGAAGAAGGAATTGTTTCAACTTTCAGCAATACGATGAAGGAGTCAGAGGTACCCCTACTGGTGTGGCATGAATATGTCACAAAACCAAGCCTGTAAAGCACAGCAGATGCTGAACAGGTAGAAGCATTAGTTTTTGGAGAACTGAATTCAGATCCTGACTGGTTCAGACACCTAACAGCAGTATGTCCCAGGCAAGTCATGACACCTCCTCTAAGCCTCAGTTTCTATAGCTACAAAATGGAAATGACATCAGCCAACCCCAGGAAGATGCTGCTGTAAGCCTCAGAGTGGCCCACCTGAGGATCAAAGAACACAGCAGAACTAGAAGGTTCCCTCAGTTCCCTGCTTCTAGCCTGCTCAGCAGCTTCCCAACAGGACAGCGGGTCCCTGGTCCAGGCTGCCCAGGGGTCCGTGATGCTTTTATTTTTATTGTTCTGGCTCCACAGCTGAGGCCTCTAATGCTAAATGGCTCCTCTTGTCCAGAAAAAATAGGTCACTGGCAACTCCAGTCTTCTAACAGGCCCATGCGAAGGCAGCCAGGCAGGCCTGCCGATGCCAGCCCAGGGCTACAGGAAGCAGGAGCAAGCATGGTGAAGGCTGTAGCAGCAGTGTTGAGTCCCTGCAGGTCCCAGCCTGCCTGGCAGAATAGCTCTGGTCAAGTCACCATGTCTGGCCTTGCTCTTAACCTTTGAAACAAAGGGTTTGTTGGGTCCTCAAAAAAGAGAGGACGTGGACAGAAGAACCTAGTACATACCAGTCTGCCTTTTGCCACTCCCACAGAGGCCAGAAACTCCTAAGACTGCAGTCACATTCTGGCTATAAGCAGCCCCTCATGCCAAGGCTGTCCTTGTTACTTCTTTTCTATTATAGACTGGGACTCAAAACTAAAAACTAAATAAAAATAAAAGCCCAACATGGTGGCACACGCCTTTAGTCCCAGCACTCAGGAGGCAGAGGCAGGCAGATCTCTGTGAGTTCAAGGCCAGCCTGGTCTACATAGTGAGTTCCAGGACAGCTGGGGCTACAGGGAGACCCTGTCTCAAAAAGACCAAAATAATAATAATAAAATAAAAAAATAAAAGCCCAAGTTTCATAAGTCAAGTTGGCTGAGTCTTAGTTTTGAAGCTCCTGATTCTCCCCTCCTCCTGCTCATTCAAGTCTCCTCTCCAGCACACACACACACACACACACACACACACACACACACGGGAAGAGACAGGATCAGATCTTCAGTACACAGTCTCATACTAAAGGATCCCTTCATTGCTGAGTAAGGAATGGGCAGGCAAGAGGAAGGAAATGGGCACCAGGTAAGAGGGCACATGGACTTTCCTGCCTTGCCCTTGGGAACGGCACTGTCCCCCTACCTCCATCATGGGTACCACTGACCCTTCTCTATTTATTCCTCCGTAGAGCACTGATGCCCAACTGACAAACTAAACAGTTTGCAGGTTGATTTGTCTCTATGTTTAGCACACAGGCTTGTACCTGGTTTGTTATTCCCAACTGCCACATCTTTACTTGTCCAGTGCACTGCCAGGCACATAGTAGACACACAATGCATAGCATACCGGTAAGTACATGAATGAATGACATCTGGATTAAGGAAATTTGATTGTAACCCAGGGCAGCCCAGACTGGCTGACTCAATTATCTGTCATAATCTATGTGAACTCAGGCCTGCCTCTTCAATTTACTCATCTGCCCATGGGTCTCTGTGGCCTCTCCGTACTGATGGGTGAGCACAGGTGATTTTTATGTGGACAGATGTCAAACCCCTGCCCCCCACAACAGGAGAGGATGAAGGGGCCCATGTTGGGAAGCCCTGCTGAGCGCCTTTGCCAAAGGTGCTGTATATAAATAGCAAGTGGTACCATCATTTTTCTTCCTAATCCCCGATTTCCTAATCCCAGGCAGGACTGTGTCTGTGTGTACATGCCCCTGAACTGTGAGTGGCACAGCCTTCGGAAGCCCATGGCGGAAGGCTGCCTTATCTCTGACCTCAGCAGCAGTCCCTGGCCCCTCCAACCCCAGGTAGATTCTGAAGGTGGATTTTCACAGGGCTTCACTGATCACCATCATGGTCCTGCCAGATACAACTTGAAGAGTTGGAAACTTTCCCTGCAGCCCACCTCAGAAACTAAGACCAGAAAAATCTTTCTTACCTGATCTGGAAGCCACACCCACCTCCCTCCAGGCCTCTCTCACACCAAGCACAGTGGCCTTTGGGGCACATAAATCAGACACGGTAGTCCCTGCTTGAAACCCAGTGGTTCATACCTGCAGAGTAAATGAAGGCTCTTTGTCGTGGCCTTCTGGACCACCATCCAGAAATGCTTGCCACAGAACCTTGTTCTTCACTTTCTACCTGCTGCCCTCATCTAAATGAGCTCCCCCTGCCCCACACCCTACTGGACCTTCTATAGAAGTTCATTCTTTCAACTTGCCTATACTTGTGTTTTCTGCTAGACTGTGAATTGTTTCTTGTTGTAATCCCCTAGGCACAAAGAAATACTACCAATCTATTCTCATGCTGCCCTGGGGTTCCCCCAAGGACTGTTGTGAAACCCTTACTTTACATGGTAGGCTCTTAGCAGTGTAAAATATCCACACAAGTAGCCCTCCCAATGGTTAATCTGGATTCGAACGCAAGTTGGCCTGGTCTGCTCTGAGGACGCTGAGGCACAGAGACAAGGTATTTAAGTGTGCAGCTCCTAAGATGTGAGAAAGGGTTATAAACTTTGAGGTTAGGCCCCGTGCTTCACTCTGCGCCCTGCCTCCCTCCCTGGCAGAAAAGTAGAACCAGGCACTTGATGGGGAGCCAGAGGAGATAAGGGTGTCATCCTGTAAGGGGCTTTCTATCCCAAGCCTGTTCGGGTAATCTTCATTTACAGGAAGGGCCTGTTCCATTACATCCCTCAACTGCCACTGCAGGAAGCAGAACAGATTATCTCCGAATTTACTTCCTATTGAGAAACTCCAATTAGTAGAGGGTCTTCATTTCCCTTCCCTGCCCGGGGACAGAGCCTCAGGCAGATGACCAGGCTGGGGCACAGCTGTTCCTGGAACACAGTGCCCCTCAAGGAAAGCCAGACTAGGGTGCATTTTCTATCAGAGGCCCTATCCTCTAGGACTAGCTTGTTTCCCTCTCCTCTTCCTCATCGTGAGTCATTTTCTGGGAGCTCGGGCCTTTGGTGCCCGTCTCCCAGACACAGCTCTGCCTGGGTCTTCCTTAGCCCCAACCTGCCCACTCCAAAGGACGTGTCCCTGTTTTGAGACCCCTCCCTAGGGCTCGGCCCTACCCCTCTCCTGTCCCCACCACAGCTCTCTTCCCGCTCCTCTCCCCCAGCGCCTCTTTTCCAGGCAGCACTGAAGTCCTTCCTACACACACGCTATTTTTGTACCATCACTCTCTCCTTCCTCTCCCCCTTCCCCTGCATTCACTTCCTGCTTTGGCTTCACCTCCGCCCAGCTTGGAAAAATTTGGGGCCCCTCGGGCCCTCACCTACTCGGAAGCGACCTTCGGCTTTGGGACTCGGGCAGGGCCCAGAAGGCAAAGCTGCCCGCCCCTACACCCCCACGCCCGGGCCACGAGGGGGGTGGCTTCGACGGGCCCGGAGCGAGGCCGAGGCCAGGGGCGGTCGCCACTTCCTCAGTCCACCCTGAGAGGACGATGGAGTGAGCGCACCGCGCTGACCTTAGGAAAACAAGTTTGCTCCAAGTGCAGCGGAGCCGGCCTCGGAGCAGCCCGCGCGGCGCGTCCACCGGCCGGCAGCCCCGCGGGCGGCGCAGGTCCGAGCGGCGGG